CATGTATTTTCGACAACTCATCTGTACATCGACCTTTGCGTAAATTGACTGAAGAGGTCTCAATCTGGCAGCCGAAACTTGTAATATTATAATTTCTTAGTTTATGTACATTTATATCGATGGTACCTAACGTTTCATGTTTCTAACTAATTATATGTTTTATATTTGAAACTAGACGTTTTATTTGAATTTATTTTTATTTTTATTTGATTGTTGACTCTACTTTGTCCTTTATTATTGTTATTTTATTCTAATATATGTAGTGAAATAAATTTAATAGTTGTAATAACTATAAAATAGTTTATTTGACTATATATACATATATATATATGTGTGTGTGTGTGTGTGTGTGTGTGTGTGTGTGTATTTAATTCTACATACAAAACTTTTATACACTGAGAGAAAAATGTTTGGTATTTGTAACTATAATTACATATCACTATAATTATGATTATTACTGCTATAATAATAGTAACAGTAATTATGTATATAGTTCTACCAACAAATGTATATAGTTGGCAACCTAAAAGGACTATATAATTATAGTTGTTATAACCATAAAATAGTTGAAATTACCATAAAAATGATTCAAGTGACTATAATTTTTATGGTAATTTCAACTATTTTATGGTTATAACAACTATAATTGACCAATTAACTTTTCTCCCTTTTTTGAAAGATATAGAAACATTCAAACGGCAGAAATTAGTCGGTTTTCTATATAATTAATGCAGGGGTTTTTACATTACGTTATCGAGTGATGACGGAATGTGTCAAAAATTATGCGAGCGAAGCTGCGAGGAATTATCATGGAGATGACAATATTGTGTCATCACGTTTCCGTCTCCGTATCCGTCACACACGCGACAACTAGACATGTGGTGTGTCAGCCGATACATAGTGCATAGCAACGTATGCGAGGTGCAATGCACTGTGAATAGGATGCCTTGAAACAAATGGCGTTATGCGGTGACAGTGATATAGCCGGCACAGCCGCTTCGCAACTCGCGACTTCACATTGACGCGTGTTTGTTGTTTTCGCAAAACGAAATCCAATCGCGAAAGGGAATCAACTTACATATTCTCGTCGCTCAATTAGCACTAAATGCAACTGTTCGCTCGCTGACTTTCATTCGTCCAGCGTAACTTAACTGCGACGTGTGTAGCGCGAGGAATGCGCTGGACGAATTCATTCGAGAAACGAATCGCCTCTAGAAAGCAGAAAGCCAATTCCGCCTTGCGCTGCGTGATGAAAATTGTGCTCGTTAATGGGACTTTTTTTTCTTGGCAAAGATCCGGAAACTGTGCGATGGAAATTCAAACATTATTGGTATCGCATTCACAAGGTTTTCATGGATGCATCGAAATTCAGGGCTTGTCGATAAATTGATCTGAAAGTGGAAATATAGATAGTACAAGTAAATATATGATCATGACGAAACGCCACGACAGATATGTATAAAAGCGAGAGTTGCTTATATGTCATGCTGATAGGGTTATTGACTTTTCGAGCTCGGTTCTGTCAATTTTTTAAACATCAACATGAAGTGTCGAGGAGAAACGTTCAAAAGATCATTAGATAGATCATGGTGTACAGAAAACTGCATATTTTAAATTGAAATAAAAATGTAATAATGTAGATAGAGCATTTATATACTGATGGTTTATTCTTTATTTGTCGCCGTTATATATAGAACTTATCTTACTCTGTTTTACATATATAAGATATAGACGCATCTCATATAATTAATTGCAAGGAATAAAAAAGAATATTTAATTATTTTATAATACAAGATAAATAAATTGCACGTAAGAGGAAATTTTGTTTACGAATTCTTTGATTTTTTTTGAAATATTAAAATAGATATTAAATTCTTTTACTCGTAATTGCAAAGACTAAAAATAAACTATTTATTTAAAAATAATGTTATTTAAGCAGAGTTGTTTTTATGGAAAAATGTTTCTCTCCTTTTTAAATTCTAATTGTAATTAATATATCGTTATAAAAAAGTGTTTATAGGAATATTTATGTCATTAACATGAAAGTCAGTTAAAATAATTTTAATTAATTTCATATTAAGTTCTAATTATCAATCGTAATATTTAACATATTATTATAAAACAAATATAGAAATTTTTGTTATTAATATGAAAATTATTTCAATTAGTTTTTATATTGACATAAAAGCTTAAAAACATTGTTTATAACAATATGTTAAATATTTTAATTAAAAATTAATTGAAATAATTAATTTTTAATTAATGACAAAAATTTATATAAATTGTTTTTATAATAATATGTTAAATATCACAATAAGTAATTTAGAATTTAAAAAGGAGAAACATTTTTCCATAAAAGTGCCTCGGCTTAAAAGAATAACATTATTATTTTTAAATAAAATATTTTCAGTATTTACAACTTCAAAGAGAGTTAATATCTAATAAAGCATTTTTTACCATAAAAAATCCATTTTGATATTTCAAAAAAGAAATCAAAGAATTCATTCGAATGAATTTTCAATTCAAACAAAGTTTCCCCTTATGCGCAATTTATTCACTTTGTACAGACAATTCCAACGGTTATCATTTCCGTTTTTCTCTCTTGAGCTTCCTTATCGATTGGCACACAAAGGATGACCTCGCGTAAGTTCGTCGCGACCACAGATGCGTTACGCATCACGGCTGTCAGCTGCTCGCGCGTACGCATACGTGCGTGAGCACTCGAGCCACGTGGTCGTTTAAATGCGCGTTAACGCGCGCACAACAAACGAGCGGTCTAGGTAAGCCTGGCTTTTAGCGCGCTTCGTCGTGCCAGTTTTTCACAGCCGTTCCCTCGGTACAGCGCGCACGTTTCCGCTTTCGTTACTAGCGAAGTCATCATCGCGATACCGTTATCCTCGCTTGTGCTCTCCCCGACCACTTCCAACGAGCTATTTTTCTCCTCTTCCGAGGATAATCAGAATCGTGACGACAACGTGTATTTCTGTTCTTTTTCGAGTGTTACAGGTAATACAGTGAGGCCCAATTTTTCATTTTTTGATTGACTTGTATTTAAACTTAATCTTACTTAACCTGATAATGTAAAAATTGTGTCTTTCTAGCTATGACTAATCACTAATTGCTGGTTTTGTACACGGAAAGAACGATTTTGCGTCATATTAAATCTTTTTGTAGCATTGCTCTCATTATGTTTGAATTTCCTATATAATTATTTTAATAGTTCAACAAAATTATTTTTAGATCTATGATTAAATTTTTAGATGTTTCCATAAAAAAGGAAATGTATCTAAAAATTTAGATAGATCTAAAAATAATTTTGTTGGGCCATCAAAATAATTATACAGGAAATTCAAACATGAGTTCTGTAAAAAAATGTGTTATTCTAACAACCGGCTTGAGCGTTCAGCATAATTATTTTGATAATTTAACAAAATTGTTATACGTCTAACAGTCGTGCACGACATATAAAAGAAAACGTTGGACGGACAACACATTTGCGCATATATATATATATATACATTACAAGGCCATACATATGATCAAAGGAAGCCGAGGTTTCAATGGATTTTTGTATTATTCCGCGCTGGCTCGTGCTGATAGACAGAACAAAAATTATCTTCAGCTTTATATTTAATTTAATTTTTAGACAACAGCAAAACCGTACTTTTCGTGTAGTGATAACTTTATAAACTTTTATTCATTACAAAATCCTCACCTCCAGAGAAAAATTATGTTTAAATTGAAAAAATTATTTCTTTCGTTAATCTTTTTAAATGAAAGTGAAAATACCTTTGAAAAAAATAAAAATTTACTTGATTCCAAAAAATGACGTTTAAATCAAAGAAACTTTTCTTTAATCGTATAGCAATGCACAAAGTTTTTGATTTAACGAATTTTTTTTGAATTAAAGAAATCTTTCTCTAGGTATAGTTTATTGACTAACCATAGCTAGAAACATACTTTTTTTACATTATCAAGTTAGTGTAACCACAAGTTAACCAAAAAATAAAAAATGGAGAGTGCCACAAGTAATGCAGTAAAAGCGATCTATAATTCGTCGGGATTTTCCGAACTTGACATCTTTACGAGTTCAACATTCTAAATTGAGAAAATGTCACGAATAATAAGCTCGAGATCAATGTTAGATATTTATACCCATCGCACAGTGATACAGTATATACTCAGTTATATGTAACGTAACAATATGTACATAAATATTGTTTGTATAAATATAATAGCTTGATATTGTTGACAAAAATGCTTTCACGCGTTTACTGATTTTTCCATGCTCTTTTTTTTCGCGTTTTAGCCGAATACACTTAACGGAAACGAATTCTCGGGTAAAACAATGCTTAGTTGTTTCCTGATGAAAGAGCTTTTCCGTTGCGCTGTTCTTTGTGTTCTGAACTGTCTTCCGTACAACTCATTATCGTCCAGCCGTTCTACATTGTCGTGTACGGTACGAACGAATTTTTAACAGGAGGTTTTTTCGATGAGAGAGGAAAGAACGGAACAGTGAGAAACACCTGCGCGAAAGTCGCAATCAATTATGAAGGGCGCGGCTGCGTATCGATAAACATATATCTCTCTTATCAGATTAATCTGACGCAGGTGAATGTAAGTTACGTCGTTTTCGAATCGCGACCGCTGTATATTTCGGATTCGCTTGTCTTTATAACCAGATCTTCGTTCAACATGGAGTAAATTCGCTGAGAGGATCTCCGATATATCTCTGGCTACGGTGAAAGTTACTCCCGCTCCTCAACGTGTTCACGAGATGGATGAACTTATCTGCGGCGAAACCGCTGTGCAGATCGACGCGTGTAACTGCGTCAAATTGCAGAACCCGAACGAACGCGGATTTGTCAGCTCTTGCTCTCGGTCTCTCTCCTTTCGATATTAATTTTATTACAGTACGCTATAAATATTAGTTTTACTTTTCGTCGTGTTTTGGAAAATTGGGCAAGGTATTTTAATCGACTCTTTTGCTCTGATTACAGGACGGTTTAGGTGGACACCACCTGGCACCCAGAAAGCAAGTGAGATAAAGACAGGTGGCACGAGAAGGTAAAAAGCAAACATGGGAGCGAGACAGAGCAAGAGGTCCGTGGATATAACGACGACGCCGAAGAAGGAGGGAATACCCGCTGAAGGAGGCGTCGTCGGCGATGCGGCCGCACCTGGCGACGGCAAGCTGGAGAGGATCGAGGAGGCCGACACGAAGCCTACCACCAACGGCATAGCACCGCACACGGAGTCCGCCGAGGATAAAGAAAAGGACAAGGATGAGGCTACCGAAAAGGACAAGGAGCAGGTAAGTCATTGTCAATAATCATTCATTTTTATTGTGCGTCGATTTCTTTTGGAAACCGAAATAATGAAGTGTTACTCATATTTTTAATCGCTTGATAAATATGTGTTTATTTATGGCCTACACTGAAAGAAAAGATTGGCTGCTGCAGCCAATTAAAATGCTATGCCATATTTAACCATCTAATTTACTGCAGCAGCCAATCTTTTCTTTCAGTGTATAAATTGAATAACAAATTATTTTTTATATTATATTCTGTAATAAAATAAGAAAAGTGAGCTTTTTTAAGAGATTTTTTGAAGCTCAAGTATTTTTAATTACCGTATCTGAAATACATGGATTCTGGTGAAAATAATAATGATTCGAAGTCATTTTAAAATAATTTGGAGCAATTTGATGTTTCACAATCTTATTTTTTAATTCTAAACTTGAAAAATTCTTTTAAAAAATAAAATTATTAATAAAAACTTTAGTGTGTCCCATATATTCTTTTGGCGTCAAAAATGTATTCCTGTTATGAGTTAAGCATTTTTTTATTATTCGATTTAAAGATAATACTGATAACTAAAATGAATGGAGTTTGACATTAAAGTGGTGTTCATGATATATGGGTGTATATTGCCTTAAAACCATGTCAACCGTATTAGGGTCAATTGTTTGCGCAGGTGACTACCTCGATTTCAGCCTGGGCGACATAATCATATTTGCCTTCGAAGTTTCTTACAACGATAATTTTTCATTACGAGGCATACATTAATACATTAGCACACGTTTTTCTTATTAACGAGTATTTTGCTCGAGAAAACCATACTATTGACACGATTGAATGATACAATTTCCGCCTTGAATTATATACGAGTGTACCTATCACTAGGCAGACCGCGAGATTTCTTGATTACGCTATTTCGATCGTTTCACGTGTATAATTATTTTTCCCGAGTGCGAAGCAAATTCAATATCGACACGTTAAATGCCACGTTCTCTCCGCTCGCTCTTCGCTTGATTATTGACATTCTCGAATCGCTTTGCGGTGAGTCACTCGCTCAATTATCGACCACTTCTCAATGATCTCGTTCGTACGGATTATACGTGAACGGTTTACAATGGGCGCGTGCTGAATCACGTATTTGCTCGTAAAAGTCGTAGGTATTCCGAAGCTTATCTCGCTGAGACGATTCATCTGACGGAGGTTGCACGCGCCAACGAATCATTAATCTTAATCAGTTCGTCGAAAGTGACGACGTATCATCTTCTTGCACCGAGTTAGCTATATTTATCGACGTCTTTATTATAAAAAATATCGTGCGTGTGAAATAACTAAGAATTATGCATCGATATATTCAATTATTGAATTATTTCAGTACAATGTAGTATATCGTAATATTGTATTTCCCGAAATTATAATAACGGTATTAATATACCACCAGTGACATTTTCTTTTAATTTCAGATGCAGAGATATATCGCTAAAACAGTATAAAACACCGTTATCAGGTGCAAATTGCAACTCTAGAAAGTAGATTACATTGCAATTAGTGGATTACATTAGCAATTAGTGGATTAGTGCGACAGTGCGTGTGCCTATTTTATGGCTCTTTTAATTTCCTCGTTCCTGTCGTTACGCTCTTTGCCACGTCCCCCCAGGAATTATTTGGCACCGGACAAAAGAGCGCCGTATAGGCTGGACTGCGTGCGACGCGCGAATGCGTCAAGTGCCGCTTTTACGACGTCCGGGGTTGACTATTCTGGGCATGACCTAGGCGAAATGTTACCTCGCCTCGAGGCCCGTGAACGACCTACCTTTGATAACGATCGATTTCCTGCTCGTATACGGAGTTATAACTCATGAACGCGAGAATCAGCGCAGTGAGTTCCTCTTCGCAGGATCATCGCATCGCTTCAATGACCACTCAAGCGCGCGTATCGGTTTGATGGTCGATAATCGTGAAGTTACACAAGATGCGTTCTAAATTGATACGCTTGTGATTAATTCCATATTTCACGTTGACGGATTAGCGCTTGCAAAGTGCGTTAACATTACAGAGACCAGAGTAACATGGATGAATTTGTGTTCGTGCTCATGTACTGAAAAAAAAGATTGGCTGCTGCAACAAATTAGATGGTAAAATATGGTATAGCATTTTTAATTCGCTGCAGCCAATTTTCGGTTGCAGTAGCCAATTTTTGGTTGCAGCAG